CTCACTAGTAGCAGTTAAGAGAATAGGGCTACCTTATAGATAAAAAGAGTAACCTTACCTATTAGCTACAATTTTAGGAGATCTAATAACCTATAGAGGAGGGATCATTAATCTTAAAATAGGGCCTATTTAGATAACTATTAAAGGAAAATAAATTAAGATGTCTTTTAATATCCTACTATTGGGACGGGACGAGGCAGTATTAGGCATACCTTAGTTATAGGAATATAATCTAAGAATTAATTGGATTACAAGTTAGATTAATATTAGAGATACTTAACGCTATAAGATGCAATAATAAGCTAAGTTAGTATAGTACTAAGTAGGAGCAACCTATAAAGAAACAGAAAAAGGACTAAGCTATATACTAAAGAGATACCATAAGTACGGTAAGAAACTATAGTTACCAGAAAGTAAAAAGCTATTAGAATATGCAGTATGGGACTATAAAATAGAGTTAGAACTAGGAATAAGTTTAAAGTTCTTTCTAATCTATAAGCTTACTAAAGAAGAGGGTAAAGCGTTAAAAGAGTTTATCTAGGAAAATTTATAAAAGGGATACATTAAACCATCGCAGTTATTAGCGGGTTATCTAGTACTATTTATACCGAAGAAAAATGGCAAACTAAGGCTGTGTATCGACTATAGACAGTTAAACAGCATTACTAGAAAGGATAGGTATCCTTTACCCTTAATTAGCGAAATCTAAGATAGAATAGGCAATACGCAAATCTTTATAAAGATAGATCTAAGATAGGCGTACTATTAAATCAGGATTAAGGAAGGCAACAAATAGAAGGCAGCCTTTAGGTTAAAGGAAGGACTATATAAACTATTAGTTATATAATTTGGGCTTATAAACGCACTAGCAACGTTCCAGAAGCGTATTAATAATATATTAGGAGAACACTTAGATAAATTTATTATAGTATATCTTAACAATATTATTATCTACTTAATAACTAAGGAAGAATATAGGGAATACGTTAAATAGGTCTTAAAGAGACTATAAAAAGAACAGATGCTAGTAGTAATTAAGAAATACAAGTTCTTTACTAGGAAGACCAATTTTGTTAAATTTATTATTAAACTAGGCCAACTTAGTATAGATCTAAAAAAGATTAAGGCTATAGTGAATTAGTAGGAACTAGAGAACGTTATATAGTTAAGATCGTTTCTAGGGTTTTGCAATTACTATAAAAGGTTTATAGCGTAGTGGTTAAAGGATATTAAGCCATTTACGTGGTTAATAAAGAAAGAAGAACTATAGGTATAGGGGGAAGAGTAAAGAAAACTCTTTAAAAAAGTTAAAGAGTTATTTACCTAGGAGCTAATTCTTAAGATCTATTAACTAGAACTAGAGATAGTTATAAAAACAGATACATTAAACTATACACTAGGGGCGTGCTTTATGTAAAGGTATTAAGATAGATAGCACCCAGTAATATACTATAGTCGGAAAATAATACTACCAGAGTTAAACTATAACATCTATAACAAAGAGTTGTTAGGTATAGTTGCAGTATTAAAGAAATAGAGAGTATTCTTATAAGGCATAGAGAAACTATTTATAGTTAAGACAGATTATAAGAACCTAATAGGATTCCTAATAACAAAGGAACTTAACTAAAGATAGGTTAGATAGGCAGAGATGCTTACGGAATACTATTTTAAGATTTAGTATACTAAAGGTACAGACAACACGCGGGCAGATGCTCTAAGCCATAAAGCTAAACTACAAAATAAGGAAAAGCTATTAGGGGCTTTATTGCGAAAAGATACAGACAGATTAATTAGGTATAATTATCCAAAAATTATAGTAACTTAAGAAGACGAACTAGAGAAAGTCTACGAGATATTAGAAAGCTTTTAGGCACAAAGAATTCTAGAAGCATAGCTAGAAGATCTATAGACGGATATATACGAAAATCGAGAAGTAAAGTACATCCTAAAAAGCATAGCAGAGTAATTTGTGGAAGACTTCTATAAGGGACTAACCTAAGGACACAATAGAGCTACGGGCTTAGTGTTAAGACTACAGGAGGAGTACGTTATTAATGGAATCTAGAGGATAGCTAGAAGAGTTATAAAGGAATATTTAGATTACTAAAGAAATAAACTAATAAGGCATAAGCTATATAAAGGGCTACAACCTGTTAAAATACTAGAGAGACCATAGGAGGTCATATTATGGGACTTTATTATTAAGTTGCCAAAATTAAAAGATCCTATTACCGGATAAGATCATAACGCGATCTTAGTAATAGTAGATAAGCTTACAAAGTGGGGATACTTTATAGTATGCACAGAAGAAATCTCAGTAGAAGATATTGCTAGAATCTACGTTAAAGAAGTATTTATAAGATATGGAGCACTAAGCAAAATCATATCGGATAGAGATCTAAGATTCGTAGTAGTATTCTAGGAAGTGTTCTTAGCGGAGCAAGGAGTTTAAGCAGCAACTTCTACCGCATATTATTTATAGACAGACGGTTAAACAGAAAGATTAAATTAGACGCTAGAGTAGTATTTAAGATATTATATCAATCATGCACAGAATAATTAGGTATTACTATTACTAGTTATACAATTTACATACAATACAATACCTTAAGAAGGAATAGGCATATTACTATTTAAGGTAAATTATGGATACGAGCTAAGAATATTATTATTACTACAGCAAGCGAAGAAAATAAGTAGTACAGCTAAAGAAAGAATAAAGATATTAATGAATCTTTATATAGACCTTACGGAATTAGTAAAGAAAGTATAAGAGAGAATAAAAAAGTACTATAATACTAAAAGATCTAAGGGACCAGATCTTAAGGAGGGAGATAAAGTATAGCTACTACACAAAAATTTCAAGAGTTGACGACTAAGTAAGAAATTGGACTACGTCAGACTAGGACCTTTCGAAATTACATAGAGGATTTTATTAGTTACGTTTAAGTTAAACCTACTAGCCAAAATAAAGATCTACCCTATACAGTATATCGCAATGCTAGAGCTAGCATATAGGAATATTAAGCCACCGGTTTATAAAGCAGATATATATAGAGGATAAGAAGAAGACAAATGGCAAGTATCAAAGATCGTTAATTATAAGAATATTAACGACGAAATATAGTACGAGGTTAAGTAGATAGGCTATACTAAGACTACCTAGGAGCTACTAGAGAATTTAAAGAACGCTATAGGAAAGGTATAGGAGTATCGGAAGAGATTAGGTTAGGTAGTATTAATAAAAAAGGATCGCTAAAGAATAAGTCACCTAAGGGGGACCTAAAAAGAGCAGTTACCGAACTACTCAGATTTATTTCCTTCTTTATTAGAAGAGAATCCGTTCTTTTATTACCTAGTTCCTATAGACCTTATTTTATAAGTTTCTACTCTTTAAAACGGACCTTCTTACAAACGCGTTAAAGACGCTAAACTTTTATAAAGGCAGACTGCTAAGCCTTAAGGGTATAAGTAAATTCTTTAGATTAATAATAGGCTTCCGCTAGCGCTACGGCAAGATTACCCTTAAGTTTTTCTGCCTTAGATTAAACACAAGACCCTAAAACAAATTAATTAGGGAACTAGATAACTATTAAGAGTAATAGGTTACGTATATTTAACATTAGAGATAGAGCGAACATTATAGGATAACTGAATATTCGCTTTAGTGCACTCTAAATAAGAGAAAGGTTGCTAGGATAAAGGACTTACTAATATAACGTAAACCAGCCCCTCTTTTATATAACAAGAACATAGAGATGGTATTATCTCACTAAGAGACAATATTATAGCAACGGTATAAGACCGACGGGCTATAGAGGAAGAAGAAGGTGCTTTAGGTATTATAAGTAACGATATTAACTAAATTAATTAGACGGATATTATACCTTTAGTAAACGACCTAGAGATGCTAGGTATCTTTAAGGACAAAGATAGAGAGAAGGGAGATGGTGTTACGGACGCTTTAAGTACAATATTACGACTACTTAGAGAGGAGTTAGAAGAAGCTAGTTAGTTAATACAAGCACGGTTTAGGATGGAACCCATAGAACCATATAACGAGGAATAGTAAGCAGAGTTACGTGATGTGATCTGTATAATCTGTATAATCTATAAGATCTATCGCAGAGTAAATAAAGTAGATAGAGCAGATAGAGTAATAACTTTCTTAGAAGTACGGTTGTATATTTAAGGACCCTTAGTCCCTACCTAGATAGTTCCTTCCTTATAGTAATTCTTAGAATACAATTAGAGTTAATCTGTTAGGCAACTACTCCACCAGTTGTTATTACGTTGTTAACTTTTATACTTACATTTCCTATACACCTAGCCTATTAACGAACCCATCGTAGTTCTTACTACAAGGTTCCGTTATAGTATTGCGTTATTATATAGAAGCTAGGATAAATAGTAAAAGTAGCTAAGCTAGTATAGAACCTATATAAGACTATATAGGACTATATAAGATTATATAAGATTATATAAAATTATATAAAATTATTTTAATCCTAATATATATTATAAGCTAGCATACTATAGGCTAAGAAAATAGTAAAAATTTATTTGCGTAATTAGCATACAACTTTAAAATAATATATTATATTACCTTAATTATATATTAAGGAATATGCAGTTAGCTTTTAAAGTTATTAAGTTAGTTAACTATATATTATTTAAATTTTAAGTTAGTTAATTGCATATTAAGGAATATATAGTTAGCTTTTAAAGTTATTAAGTAGGTTAACTATATATTATTTAACTTTTAAATATATTAAGTTAGTTAATTGCGTATTAAGTTAGTTAAGTTATATATTAAGTTAGTTAAGTTGTATATCAAGTTGGTCAATTACGTGTTAAGTTGGTCAATTGCGTATCGAGTTGGTTAAATTGCATATCAATTACGCGAAACGCGAAAAACAAAGTCTACTTGAATCTCATCCTGCGAATATTTTCCCGATGATAGCTACTAGTTAAATAAGAAAAAGGAAAAAAATAATTGACAAGAGAGGGATTCGAACCCCCGCGGGCAAAAGCCTTGTAATGTTAATTTAATAGATACCAAGAGACTTAAAGTAAGCATACCCATGAGAATAACCTAATATCACTAATAGGAAGCTTAACGCTTGAGTCTAATATAGAATGATTAACACTTGCATAGAAATCAAGACTTATCACCCTACCGCACGCCTTGGACCGCTCGGCCATCTTGCCATAAATTATCATAATATCATAATTAACTTGTATATATATAATTATAAGTTGAAGTTTTTGACGCACGACAATTGGCTGCACGCGCGGCCTTGGAACAATGCCCTTAGCAAGGCTCTGCACCCCAATTGCAGTCAAAACTTCCGTTATTTTGAAGTCGCATACTAATTTCCTATATAAGCTTAGCGCTGCGGTAAATTTGCATCTATTACACAGGGCTGGAACTGGGTCCGTATCAGCTGCAGAGTTGCATTGCTGCATCGCCAGATATAGTCACGTGACTGTAAGTCTGGCTCTAATTGCTTCAAGAAATCGCTCCGCCCGTCAGCCACGTAGAGGTCCTCCAGCTCTGCGCCCCCAAAACAGGCCCAATTTGTCGGTTTCCGTCGGGTTTTAAAAATTGCATGCTGATTTCCTATATGGGCCTAGTTTGCTTGCAAATTTGCAGCGTGTGCGCAGCTCTAATACTAAGTGCCTAGAACGGGGCCGTCCTTACGTGCTTAGGGCGTGCTTAAGGTTGCTTAGGGCTACTCACCCTTAGCTGAGTCCACAGACGGAAATAGATCCTAGTAAGGGGAGTTTTTCACTAAAGACTATAGAGGATATATATAATAAAATATGCTAAGGAAAACCCAGCCCCGCACCAGCGATTAATATAAAGCTGAGGTGGCATACTATCCTTCTTTTCTTATTGCGAAAATAATTTGCTTAGCCTATAGCGATAAACAGCCCTACTATATTCTTAACCTCCCTTCCAAACTTCGCTTACTAATTCTGCTTTAAATAAGTCAGTTTAATTTAAATAAGAGCTATTAACCACTTTTTATTCTTAAATATACTAATTACCCTCTTATAAATATATAAAGCTATTTACGTAGAAGCTACTAATATTCTTTATTATAAAAACTTTAGAGACTAATTATTAGTTCTTCTTTAGGGGAGAACCAGCTCCCTTTATAATCCTTTTAAGTTATTAGTAAAACCCTCCGCCCCTTATCTATCTAACTATATCTTCTTTAAGATATTAGTAGGACATTAATAAAATCTCCTCTAGAGAAGAGCTAGCAATTAGTCTCTAAATAGAAGAGGTTAGAAAGCAATTGTCCTTTAATACGTGAAACCTATTCTATCTTTAACTTATCTTTAACTAACCTTTAATTTATATTCTACTTACCTATAATACTGTTGATTAGATAATTATATGTTCTGGTTAAACTGGCCTTTTATAATTCTAATTGCTTATAATCCGTTACGGAAGGGACGTATAGCTATTAATTAAAGATAATGGGCCATACTCCTATACCCCCTAAAATAGCGCCCTTACCCTAAGAGACTAATAGAGTCTCCCTAGAGGAGCGTATTCCCTCTTCCTATAAAGAAGCCACAGCTAGTCCGTCTAACCTTGCGAGACCCTTAGGAATAATTACCGCTGGGGAGTTATTAAAGCGGTTGCTATGTAAGACCTTATAAAAAATAAAGGAGTTAGAGATATAATTAAGATAAGTATATTAAGATTACTAAGAATAATTGTAAGGACAAATAGGAGAAGTATAGACATCCTAGACGTAAAGCGGACTAGAAGGGGCAACGCTATACTATACTATAGTATTAGAAAAGACTAAGTTTCGTATAAAGGACCTTAATAAGTATAAGGGTAATAGTCTCTAAAACTATAATCGTTTTATCCATTAATGCGAAACTATATTTTGGCTAGAACCGAAACATTACTCTAATAAGTATAATTAAACACTAATTGCTTCTACCTTCCTACATAGTACTATTAGGGGTTTATGGATACGCTATAAGAAGAAACTTACTATACTCCTTAAATTTAGCGAATTTAAGTCTTAGTTAGTTAATTAGGTCTAAGACCCTACTAATTAAGGGATGAATTATAACTAGTGATACTATAATGCTAAGTAGCAAGAAGGCCAGAACGTAACCTAATTTATAAACTACTTAGAAGAGCTAGAAGATAATATACCCTATTTAGATCCATAGGATAACGCTATATAACTTTACCAGCTACTCGCTAAGCTATAACCTAAGATTTAATAGGCTATATAGGAGAAAGGCGAGATTTCTACCTTTTAAGAAAAGCTTATCTCTAAAGCTGCTTAGATTAAGAATGCTAAAAGAGATTATTTAGGGAAGCGAAAGGAACGAGACGCCAATAATAAAGAGTGTAGGACTAGACCTAGCTTTAATAATAGGGGTAGGTTCCAACCTAACTACTCTATAGAAGGATAATATAAGCAGGCTTTACAGCCCTAGAGTAACGCTGGCTAACTCTAGTATAATAATAGACAGAAACCTAATCTAAATAAGTAGAACTAAGAGATACGCGTCTGTTATAACTGCAGTAAGAAGGGCTATATAAGCCGCTTCTGCTAGAAAAAGAAGTAAAAATTGGCTTAGCTAGAAAAAGAGGAAGCCTAGTAGATCTTTACTTTCTAATACTAGGTAATTAGAAGAAAGAGGGAGTAATCTGCTATATAGTTATTCCTGTCTCTATTTAAGTTAAATAAATAGGTAACGTAAGACTGCCTTATAGACAGCGGCGTAACTATAGGGTTTATTTCTTAATTACTAATAAAAGAATTGGATTTAGACCTAAGCGGCTTATAGGTGCGCACTATTTAAAGTATTAGAGGCTACCGGATTCTATACTACAGGGAATAGACTTTTTTAGTGGCTAGCTAGGACCGCGATAGTCTATAGGACACGTAGGAGATATGCTTTTATACCGTAGAAATTAAGGGGTATAACCTTGCCTTGGGATACCTATAGCTTTAATAAGTTAATTTAGATATTAATTGGCCCTTAGCCTTATATTAATACCGGAAGTCTTAACCGCGTATTATAGTTAAGAATTAGGAGACTTTTGTAAACTATATACAAAAAGAAGGATAGGCGCATACTATATATACCACTTTTAATCCTAAGAATAGGGACACAGAGTATTTACTTTTAGATATTTAGCTATACGTAGTTAAGGCACTAGAGATTCTACAGGAATATATAGACTTAGTAGAAGTTTTTAGTAAGGAAAATATAGAAACCTTACCTAATCCTATATTAGTTAAACACGAGATAGATATAGGGGATAAGTTACCTTTTTTTAGACTACTATATAACCTATTAGAAAATAAGTTAGCAATATTACGTTAGTATATAGTGGACAATCTTTAGAAAGGATAGATTTAGCCTTCTATAAGCCTAGCAGGAGCACTAATCCTATTTATACTAAAGAAGGACAGTGGCCTATATTTATATATTAACTATTAAGCGCTAAATAAAATTACTGTAAAGAATTGCTACCTATTACCCTTTGTTATGGACTTTATATCAGCAGTAGTATAACTACTAAAAAGAGATATAAATGGGTTAGTTAAGATAGTATAGAAGGCGCTAGAGCCGATTAAGCTATAGGATAAAAGGTAGCTAAGTTATATAGCCAGTTATATTATAAGTTTAAAACGTAAGAATATAGGAATATAGGAACGTGGGGCGTACTAATATACTTAGTACATTTCTTAGGCGCAGTATTGTATATTTAAAGGACTATAGTCCCTACTTAGATAATTCTCTTCTTTATAGTAAATTTTAGAATATAATTAGAGTTAATCTGTTAGGTAACTACTCCACTAGTTATATTACTGTTATTAACTTATTAGTTACCTATATATCTAGCCCATTAATAAGTCCATCATAGTATTTCCTATAAGGCTTCGTTATATATTTACTACCTAGTTACGGTATTAATAAGTCAAATAATATACTACTAAAAGCACTAGTTATAACGCTATTAATAGCATTAACTACTTTAGGAGTAAGTAGAGATACCAGCATATAAGACACCGACTTACATCTTATTACAGTAGGTTAATTATAAGAAATAGTTAATTAATTAATAGACAATAATCGAATACTTAAAGAACGAATTAACAGCATTGGAGTAGTAAAGGTTAAGTTACCGTTAGTTAAGCGATTCTTAGGGAAGAAGTTAAAGCTTAAGGGTTTTTTAGTATAAATGCGTTTTAAGGTAATATAGGAGGGTATAACGCTCGCTACGCTAATAGACCAAGTGGTCTACGCAGGATTATTCCTAATTGGAAGAGCGCTTAAGTGGTTTAAACTTTACTTTACTAAGATATAAAAGAATGGGAATACGACTATAAACCTAGAAGTAAAGTTTATATTCTTAAGTTAGGGAGGATTTATAGAATAACTTATATAGATATTTGGAGACCTAAAGGTAACAACTACGGTAGAATGGGAGCTCTAAAACCTAGTATAACGAACCTTAGTAATTAAGTATATAATATAGTTTTAAACACTAGCTACGTAGGTTAAGTGGAATAATAAGGCGCTTATGGCACAGTATAAACAGAGACTTAAGGTAAGAGTCTAGGATGTAATTATCCTAATAGAAGATGTGGATATACTTAGGGAACTTATAAATTAAGTAATTAAGATTAATAATAGGATCTATTAAAAAGAACAACCTAAGAAAGGATAATATAGAGTTCTATAGTTGTATAAGGCGTAGAGCACGCAACAATATAGTTAAAATTAGAAACTATAAAATAGTAGACTAGAGCTAATAGACCTAAGCGGTACTAAAGAATCTAGAAAGTAAAATAAGAAATTATAGAAACCTAGAGGCTAAGGATTAAGCAATTATAGGACTAAATAGTAGAGGTTAAACTAGGGATCTTAGTAGTAGAAGACGTTTAGGCGGACTCTATAATAAGAGAAATGGTTTAAAGAAGGAGCTTATATAAATTATAGAAAATAGGGTTATCTCGCTAGAGACTATAAAGATAGTTAGAATAACTATACGGTAAGGGGAACTAGGCTAGTAGACAACATATATATATAGAGGGACGATAGTATACTATAAGGAACCAAAGAGTGTTTAATTAAAAGTTTTGCATTTTGTTATAATAATGTATACTAAATTTATAAGGACGCTAAGTATAGCGTAAGCTATTAGCCAT